TTTAAGTAATTTATTGACTATCCCTTCATCTATGTTATTGATGTAAATCGAAAAGAGCAAAGGTCCTAAGACTGAGCCAATGAAGTACCCCACTTGTGACATTAATCCAGTTTGACTGAATTCCATTTGTAACAACCCTCTGCTTTCTTCCATCCAGCCACTCTTCTATCCAATTTGCTAGCTTATCCCCCACAACAATAGAGTTAATTTTTTTTACAACAGGTACAAAGACATATTCTGGCACATGTATAACATTACCACTGTGGCTAATTTGCATATTATATAAATATAGAAATACAAAAGAAATGTCTTATGTTCCTGATAACTTCTACAAACATGACTGAATGCTCCTTAAATAGATCCAGACTTTAATGGGATGTGAAGGATTTGTCTGAACTAAGAAAAACTTGAAAAGTAGTTCAAGGTCAAATTATGGCACTAAGGGGTATGTCCTAAATAGGTCATATGCCACAGTGACTCATTAATGGTTATTTAATATAAACCAAACTTATTAATTTTACCTTAGCAAACACTATAGATACATTAATAATGCATATTTATGCCAGTTGTGAAGTCTATAGCCTCAACAGATCTGAAGTTATGAGATAAAAACCACTATGATAATATAAATTTTCTGATTTTGAGAAAAATATGTTTAAAGACATTTAAATTGGAAAACCTTTTATTTTTCATACTTTTTGAGAGTTTTTAATTTAGCTAGGACTTTTTTGCACTGGTCATTGAAAGTAAAGAAGTTAAGGATACAAAATATGCAAAAAGATTGCCATACAAAGAATATATGCTACCTTAAAACCTTTTAATTTTTTGTTCAAAATAGGCCTAAAAAACCCTTTAAAATCAATAAATATGAAGGGAACCTATATTTTCAACCAAAAACATTGCCACAAAATTTTATACAGTAGTTATATTACCATAATTATCCAATAAAGATCAGGGGAAATATAATGATTTTGTAACATTTATGATGTGAGGAAATAATCAAGACTTCTTTATCAGCAGGTTTGAGAACTTTAATGGACTGCCTCTTCCTGTTGAAAGAAAAGGAGAGGATGTTTTGGCTTCTATACTGAGGCCTTCTTCATGTCCTTATTATAGAATCACAAACATTGTCTCATTTGCTTTCAACAGGACGATGCAGTCCGTTAAAGTTCTCAAGTCTACTATATCTACTCTGCCTAAAGTTCCACTGAAAAACTTCTTTATCAGCACTTACACAGTAAAATGTCTGTCATCACACGAAAAGTAATGAATTTCTTCATGGAAATTCTACATTTAGTATTTAGTCAAGTATAAGTTATACATATATATATTTAACATTAATTTAATTGTCAAACCAAAATTTCCTCATTTGGAAAAAGGAAACATTAAAAAAGAACAATTTTTTGTAGTGGCCAATTGGGAGACCTGTAATGTAAAAACTATTTTCACACAACACAAATTAGCAAATGTCGGAAATATAAGTCATATAATAACATTATTTTTTCATCTTTTAAATATACTAATGTTTTTGATGGCCCTTTTTCATTAAAAATTCTGAATTTAACTATTTATGACTGTAACTAATATAATTCCATTATTTTACATTATTAAGAAATCAAATATACATATTAAATTACATGTAAGCAATCACTTATTCTATAGTGAAAAAAAAATGCAAGCAAGTTATTTCTTACCCCTAATTATCCACATACATTTTGAACAATATGACTAAGACATGATCCGCTGATTACTCATGAAAGAAGATAAAATCCTATGGATAATGTACGTAACTATTAGGAACCTGCTTACAATGACATAATTCATTTTTTCTTCCTTTAATCAAGCCAACTTAATATTTTTTCTTGCCCACCAATCTTCATTCTGTGCTATAGCTTCACATCTCAAACCATCCTGAGGTTTTCCAGTTTAAACATCAACATTAAAAACAAATAATAATAATATTTTGGCAATTTTAAGAGTATCCTGAGAACAATACACCACAAATTACTGTCTGAGTCTATACCAATCCACTAAACTACAATGAGTCTACATTAATACCAAGTACAGCTCAAAAGAGCAACACTCTTCTGACATTTTCTGAGAAAGTTTGTAAAACATACATCAAAGTAACTTTTCTAAAGGGTACACAAAATGACTATGGGTGTATGAATCTAGCCAATCCTTAGGTACTGTTGACTGAAACTCAAACATAACCACTATACTGAGACAGGTAAATGATGTTTTTCAAAAACATGCAGGACAGGGCAAGAAAGGAAGACTCCTGTGCTCTCATCATCTCAACCAGAGACTTACACCAGGGATCAGGGAGAAACCAACTAGTCTGGTGTTCAGGAACATCCAACTGAACGGAGTTCATCAGCTCCATTGCTCTGATATATATATATATATCATGGCAGCAGCAGATCACACTGAAACAGTCTTTAGACTTTACCTCTGAGCTTCAACTTCCATGTTGGGAGGTGAAGAGGGTGACTGTGGTGTCTTGAAACTTGCACAACTACCTGTCCCACAGGTACTGTTAATAGGGATCATGGCACTGGTATTATTGTTGTTGTGCTGATAAGAATTACCTGTTGATGAGGTAGATGACTGAAAACAGTGCCCAGGTGGAGATGTACTCATTTTGTCAGATGCTGACAGTTTGGAGAAAGACAGTAACGTCTCAGGGAAGTTTGGAGGTGTTGCAGGAGTATTAGCTGGAGTAGACATCTGAAAGCAATACATAATACTTTTTATCAGCTCCTAATACAATAGAATGCAAATTTTCAAATAAACCAAGCATAGCACATCTGGAATATGCACAATAGTTACACTTTCACATAATATATTAATAAGATGAGCAATGGATACAAGACACCACACATTAATCTCTTGAAGTTAAACTTAGTGGTACTTCCATCAGGTGCATTACTAGTTATCATAACCTTTCCCTGCTTTGGCCTGAAGAAGCAGATACTGCTCAAAACAATTAAACATAATTATAGTTTAAATAAGATAGATTTTGGACATTGTGAAATACATCTTGGGTAAGAGCTCAGCAGTGCCCTTGAGTCACTGACTTGTATTTATGCCATTACTAATCTATGGAGAAGCATTTCAATTAAAAGTAACTAAATAATATTACCATAGCAGTTAGTGCCAGTAATTTTTCAAAGCATAAGAAGCATTTCAGTAGCAAAATGGCTCTTGCTATAATGAAAAAGCATTAATTATAATACATAAACAATTATGACAAA